TCTCTTTCTCATTTATTTCAAGCTGTGATGAATGCAAGTGACAAATCCAACTTGCTCTCTCTCCCTCTCTCCCTCTCTCCCTCTCTCCGCCTGTCTGTCTGCTATTCTTATTTGAGACGAGTCCAGCGAAAACACACAGTCACAAGTCTGGGCAGTGCGGTCAGTGCGTCTGTTCAAAATGAAAACTGATTTGATGATGAAATCTTAATGCAACTAGCGCCGGTGAATTTGAATTACAACTCTTCAACGAGCGGCTAAGTGAATTTGGCTGTTAAACAGATAAACATCAGGTCATCTGTGAGCGTGTGTGTGTGTGTATTTGTGTATGTTCAGTAAGTGCCAATGGTAATGAATTATAGATGTAGAGGTGTAAGGACCCAACATCAATGACCCTGACATAATTGAAGTGTTTGTATATATGGTGTGTGTGTGTGTGTGTCGCTCTTTCTCCAACTCCAGCTGACTAAACAAGTCTGCTGTTGGTGAGTTGGTGAGGTGAGTGGCTGTGAGTGACAAATCCCCGTCTGCAGTCTGACTCACTCGCTCTCTTTTTCACTGACACACACACACACACACACACACACACACACACACGTACACACGTACACACGTATATATATTATATGGTAATTGTTTCTTGTAAATGTGCATTTCTGTAGACAAACAGATCCTCTCTTTTGCCTTATGTGAAGCAAATAGCCATGTTTGCATGGCTTGACAGGATAAGTGGCTACACCAAACAGGCTGACTATGCAGTGAGCAAATCTGAAGAACTAGTAAATGACAGTGTTGAATGTGAGAGCCAGTTGCAGATAACCTCAAAGCTGTACATTGGGTTTTTTTTCTTGCAATGTGTAAAGTTATTGTAGCCTAAATATCTTCAGCACTAACTCTTCTAGGCTAAAAATGGAATCAGAAACCAGTATTGTAATCTAATGACAAGTGACACCAGAAAAACAACTAAAAGAGTCAACCACTTGAAGGTTTTCAGTCAAAACAGTTGGTTAACATTTTTACAATTAACTTTGCAATGTGAGAAAATGCAGACCAACAACCGACTACAATTAAAATCACTTGCAGGCTTAAGGCTGAAGTGTTGCTTCAGGCGTTGTGTGGCCACCAAGAAGCCAAGCTTAGTTTGCTTATGCGTTCATACAGGACTCTCACCAGTACCATTTTCCCCCTTTCATTGTCTTTCTCTGGGTGGTTTGTGAAAAAAAAGAAGAAATAAATCACAACAATGAAATCAATGAGGCGAGACGGAGAGTGTGAGCAGGACGACGTCAGTGGAAAGTCGGTGTCACCGTCTTGACCTCAGCGTGGCGACCGATGCCAGCAATGACCTCCTCGACTGTGAAAAGTAAAGCTTATACCTGGGACTGTCTGTGGCCGTCTGCCCCGCCGCTGCAGAATGGAACAGAGATAATTAGGAGCAAACTGCAGGGCAGGAGAGTCTGTAAACACAGTTGTCACTGTGTCACCACTCGCGCTCGCACCAAGCAATATTTGATGAATTCAATTAGGCCCTCGTTCAAACTCATTAAACAGCAGATGAATGTGAAGCACGTACGGTGCGGTGACCGCTGTGCTCAGCGCTTGTGCCTGCGCTGTGGTCTACGCCCTCACATGCGTCTCCACCCAGTGCATTACATGAGGCGTATTGTGTTGTCGTTCTGCTCTCAGATTCTGAATGTCATGAGTCACTTTCATAAGCTTTAATTGGGAATAAATTACCCACGGAAGGGTTTTAGCTTTACCGTGGCCATCCCATCACCATGTTGGGCAACTAGAAATATATGAACAACATAATATAGGTGTTACTAATTCACAACAGGTCTAATTATACTCTTTTACTATGAAGTTTGTGTGCAAGATTGCGACTTCCTAATGATTTCTGTTGTTCTGTTGCAGATTACAACAGTAGCGATCAGAAGACGGCATGCAGAAGACATGAGCTCTACGTCAGCTTCAGAGAGCTGGGCTGGCAGGTAGCCAACGTTTTCTTATTTAATACATCCAAACAAGTTCGCATAACATGTGTGATGAACAGGGTACGGTGGTAGTGATCCTTAATGCCTTACCGTACTGGTACCGTACTGATGTAAACATATTCAAGAGGCTAACAGAATTTGGTTCACTGAGGGTCCATTAACACACACATAATGTTTCAGCTACGTCTTCTTCAAAGCTTCAGTTATTATATACTAGAACAACAATAAGTTAAAAGAAATATTTTTTTACCAGGTGACGTATGAAGTCAAGGCAGGTGTCTTAATAGTTTTAGGGGAAAAGTCAGTTAAAGTAGCTTTGTGGGAGTAGACCGAAGTCTCGTGTGTGTGTGTGTGTGTGTGTGTGTGTGTGTGTGTGTGTGTGTGTGTTTACGAGGAGAAAGACTGAGGAAGAAAGAGAAGGGCAGAGTTGTGTACATCCTTCCCAACAAGCTGTTAACACAGCACTGACATCTAGAGGGAGACTGCCAGCACTTTCTGTGTCTCTATCTCTGTCTCAAACACACACACCCAGACAAGCACACGAGCGCGTACACGCACGTGTGCACACACACAGAAATGGAGCTGGACAGACATAGAAGAGAAATACAGAGAGATTATTAACACAGACAGGAAGTTGCACTGGAGAGAAACACAAAAACAAGTAAGAAAGAGGTAAAACATGCAGAGAATTTATCAGAGCAAGACAGTAAGACGCAGCGAGGAAGGAAAGGAAGGAGGAGAGTATTGCTTCCGTGAGCGATTCCACAGAGCAGGGACGTCCTCAAAGATGGACCAACAAGAGTCAGGTGAGCCTCTGTAACAGGTCAAGGACTACCTACATTCATAAAATGAATGTGACATTGACTTGCAACAGTTTCTTATTGAGTTGTTTACAGTGATGCAAAGAGAAGGAACGTATTGTGGAATCACACCTGACCTTTTTAGTGTTTCAGTACGTACATCTCTGTTTAGGCATTAATATATTAGTATGTTTTAATGACTTTGATTTGATCGGTGTCATCTGCTCTGACTGTGCTTTTAACGCTTACTGTCCCGTGTTTCTCAAAGGACTGGATCATTGCTCCTGAAGGCTACGCAGCCAACTACTGTGATGGAGAGTGCTCCTTCCCCCTCAATGCCCACATGAATGCCACCAACCACGCCATTGTTCAGACACTGGTAAGGCCTAGACACGGGAGTGCATCATGCTCAGTATATGAGAGGTTTTTATGACATACTATACTATGACTTTTTATGACATACTATACTAT